CTCTCTCTAGTAAGCAGCAGCTGGCGGCCTCCATCTTCGGGGCATGAGAGCCTATGCTGAATGGAGGTTATGCACCTCGGCTGGCTCCAGTCTTATTTGTGGGGAGCGTCATGTGATGGGAAACGGGTCCACGGCCCCCTCATACGAGTTGTAGCAGCAGCAGTCCCAGGGAAAACTGCATTCATTGTCCTTGCACCGTGAGGAGATTACCAGTCTCCCGAAAACCCCTGGCCCCTGTTCCAGGGGTGAGGGAGGACAACCTCCTCCAATGCTGTTATGGCCTGGTTCTGCAAGCCCCCTGCTTTCTATTTCTCTCTTATGGCCTCTGCTGTCTTGTTTCAACTGTTTCTAACTGTCGATTGTATTTGAACACATTTTCCTCCTGACTAGCCTTGCTGGTGTTGTGATATCAACGGCCTGACCGAGGAAGGTATGGTGCAGGGAGAGGCGCTTCAGGAGGGGTCAGGTTTTGGGGGCGTAGGTGTCTCTGGGTCGATTCGGTAGTTGGAGGGGTGGCGAGGACGAACGCAGTGTGGGAGGAGGGGAAGACGGGGGGGGGGGGCGCATATGTGTAGGAGGACTGGGGAGGTGTAGGGGTCAGTGAGGACGGTGTTGACGGCAGTAGGGGCTAGGAAAGGGGGGCGGGGGTGGGAAGGCGGGGGAGGTTGTTGAGGCTGTGTGGACAGCAACGGAAGTTGCTGCAGTTGTTGCGAGGAGTCCGCCTCTGTTATGACATTTACATTCTCTCCCGGAAGGGGCGTGAAGAAGCAGTCCACTGGCCTTACCTGCCACTGCGTCTCATGAAGCAGACCGACCTCCCTTTGTCCTTTATCTCGCGTATCTTTCTGTGAGCGTCAATCCCTTGATGTCCAACTGCTTTGACAGCTTCCTTTTCTGCCTTTCGGTCTGCAAGCTGGGCCAGATCATCTGGGTGGTTGTTAGTCCTTTATCTCGCGTATCTTTCTGTGAGCGTCAGTCCCTTGATGTCCAAATGCTTTGACAGCTTCCTTTTCTGCCTTTGGGTCTGCAATTTGGGCCAGATCATCTGGGTGGTTGTTGGGCCAGATCATCTGGGTGGTTCTTTCGGGCATTCGCGATATTCGCCCTTATGGTGTTTCATTATTTCAGCTTTTGCCTGCAGATATACCCAAAAGTGTAATCTTTTAGGGGCAAGTAATATTCGCTCTTATGGTGTTCATTATTTCAGCTTTTGCCTGCAGATACCCAAAAGTATATTCTTTTAGGGGCAAGTACGTTGGAGTCGCACCCAACGAAATTATGGAGCAAAAAAGGCGACCCCCTTAAATCTGCCAAGCGCCACTGTGGGTAATCACTCGTGCAGTTTTAGACCCCCGCTAAGCATGCACATTTCCGAACTCACACCATGACGCTGGCGCCTTTTTGTCTTTTCTTGCCTATTTCAACCCAAGGGCCTCGCCACACCAGTGTCGAAACCGTGAAATATTGGCCAACTGTCAGACCATTTTCGACATTCACGGTTTCAACACAATGGCCGCCTTCGCCACACCGTATGTCGAAGACCCAGGAAAAGAAAAGAAAAGAAAAAAAGAAAAAGCAGACGAAGACACTGAATGTTGAGGCAGCGTCAGTATCCCGACCCTGAAAGGTGTCGAAAATCTGCACAGCCTTCACAATGTCGTTTCCGAGATGTTGAAACTCAACCTGCTGCAGGCGGACTGGTCCACAAACATGTGGAAACAACTTCTATGACAAATGTGGAAAGTGGTTTCGACATTTTTTCTTCGACAGTCTGCGACTCTGTGTGGCGAAGAAAAGATGTTGACAACTCCACTTTCTACATTGCTGTGGCGAGGCCCTAAAAGTGTGTAACCACCACAGTTTCTGCAGCCTTTGATCTTTGCTGAGCATCTGGCTGGCCAAATGACCTTTTTTTTTTGGGGGGGAGGGGGGGGGAGGAACGGGGGATTATCCGTTTTGCCTGGCCAGTCGAATGAGGAGTTTAAACTCACCAGTACTTGGCCCATACATCCACACTCTCCAAACAACAGCGCGCGCGAAGGAACCACCGACCGCTTCGGCCCACAGCCGGATGCCACCGCCCGCCAACCGCGATTTGGGGGGGCGGTAGTGCGACAAAGTCCATTGATGAATTTTATCAACAGCGGCCCTGATCAAAAGTTGTGGTTGGTTGATGAATTTTATCAACAGCGGCCCTGATCAAAAGTTGTGGTTGGTTGTTAACGAGCCGCCGCCTCTCTGAAAAAGAGCTGGGAGAAGTACTGGTGGTTGAATTCCCTCCATAGTGGGTGAGTGCCACCATGGCCGTATCTGGATTGCTGTTAGGAAGCCCAGCAAACAGTGCGCTAGATTGGCGATTCTCTTCTGCGAAGAGATTCCGCAGTGTGAACAAATTGGCGGGAGGATGCCTTTTTGTTTGAGGTTTGAGGCTTTGAGAATGAGAGAGAGAGCGAGAGAGATGGTTAATGGAGGGGCCCCCAATTCGGGGGTTTTCGCTGCATCACCACACACAATGTCGTCGGAAATTCACGAGAAAACAGTGCAGGCTCATAATACAAAAAAAAAAAAA